GAGACAGAGTCTCACAGGCTAGAGTGTAGTTGTATCATCGTAGCTCACTGCAACTCTAGACTTCTGGGCTCAAGTGAGCCTCCTGTCTTGGCCTCCTACGTAGCTGGAACTACAGGTGTATGCCACCTCACCCAGCTAAATTTTCCATTTTACTGTTGTTCAGGCTGATCTCAAACTCCTGACCTCAAGCAATCCTCCTGTCTCAGCCTCCCCAGAGTACTGAGATTATAGGCATGCCTGTAGCAACTTTTAATGTAGCAGATGATCCATAGATGTTAATTTCTTCACCCCCTTTCTTCATTCATCATGTGTATCAAGTAATTTTTCCACACAGACTATAGCTGCTTCTGTGAGTACAGCATTTACAAGTTCAACAATATTCTAGTCCACGTAATCCCTGATGGATATGGCTATAAACCAGAATCATAACAATATTTCCATAGGAAAACATATTTTGAATTATAAATAATGTTTTAGAACACACACTATTTGGGGGAGGCAATTGTTTGTTTTTTTTTTTTAAGACAGAGTCTCACTTTGTCACCCTTGGTAAAGTGTTGAGGCATCATAGCTCACAGCAACCTCAAACTTCTGGGCTCAAGCAATTCTCTTGCCTTAGCCTCCAGAGTAGCTGGGACTACAGGTGCCCACCACAATGTCTGGCTATTTTTAGAGACAGGGTCTCGGTCTTGCTCAGGCTGGTCTCGAACCTATGAGCTTAGGCAATCCACCTGCCTCAGGCTTCCAGACTGCTAGGATTACAGGCATGAGCCACCGCTCTCCGCCTTTAGGAAGACAATTCTTTGTGTATCTCTCATGTTTCTGCAAGCAGAGGCACTAACTGCCCTTTTGTTGTGACTATCTTTTCAAGGATATTTGTATAGTGAATAGCTATAACATTTTCTGAGTAGAGGGCTTGTTTGTTTACAATCCAACATTATAAAGATAGTATCTTTCCCTTGAGCAAAGCCCAGGAAGGTTTGCTCCCATTATAAAAGAGCCAAGTTCCCTAAACCAGGGTTCCTCAGCATCCTGTGCAGAGCATCCACTTGGGCCCCAGGGGACCTGGGGAGGCAAGAGGAGGCAATACAGCTGGGAAGGTCATGCTGCCTGCTCTTCTGTAATAAGGTCCTTTATCTCTGGTTAAGGAGTCTCATGTTCTTTGCCAGCATACATGAAACTGTAGCAGGCAACCTGTTAGCTTACCAGCTGGACAAAATCTCTGACCCTTCCCAGTTCTCAACACTTATTTGTTAGAACATGTTGAAATTGGGCAGTGCCTGTGGCTCAGTGAGTAGGGCACTGGCCCTGTATACCGAGGGTGGCGGGTTCAAACC